GAGGTTGCAGTGAGCAGAGATCCCACCGTTGCACTCCAGCCTGGGCAACACAGTGAGACTCCATCTCAAAAAATAAATAAATAAATAAATAAATAAATACAATTTAAAAATGACTAAAAGATAGCTATTTATCAATCTTATTTTTTATGAGAAAATAGATGATTGATTGATCAAGCAGTTTTCATCAGAACTGCTTAATTTTATTTACTTAGATAATGATAAACTGTTGTTTATTTACTTAGAACACTAAAAATGTGTTACAAACTCCCAAAGAGAGCCACTAAGGATTTATTAATCTTATTTTACAAATGCACAGATTGGTTTGTTTATTTTCATCATTATAAAGTAAATGTAGAAAATTAATATTTTGATCATTTGTTGTTAATAGCAAACTTTTTTGTAAGAAGATTGAAAGACTGTTTGATCCTGAGTACTTGAATCCAGATTCTCGGAGTAATGCAGCAACTTTGTATAGGTATGCTAACATGTTTTTTCTTTGATATGCTTTATAATGCAGCTATATTCTGTAATTTACTACATTTACATTCTTCTTCCTGGATGTTTTTTGTATTTTCTTTGTTTATAGATGCTGTTTGTGTAAGAAACTTTTAACAAAAGAAACAGAAAGAAGAATTCCTTGCATTCCTGGAAAAATCAATGTGGATCGACATGGAAATATTGTCTATATTCACATAAGGTGTCGTGAAGATAAAATATATTTTTATATATGTATTTGTTGTTGTTGTTGTTGTTTTGGAGACGGAGTTCTACTCTGTCACTCAGGCTGGCATGCAATGGCGTGGTCTTGGTTAACTGCAACCTCCCCCTCCCAGGTTCAAGTGATTCTCCTGCCTCAGCCTCCTGAGTGGCTGGGACTACAGGTGCATGCCACGACACCCAGCTAATTTTGTATTTTTAGTAGAGATGGGATTTCACTATGTTGGCCAGGCTGGTCTCGAACTCCTGACCTCGTGATTCACCCACCTCAGCCTCCCAAAGTGCATATTTATAAAAATATAACTACTTTTATAAGGAATGGGATAACATCTTTTTTGCGTGTGATCCAACTTTCATTTAGAAAAATACTTTCAAAACAAGGTAGTTGTTAGTACATTTTATTTACTGGGTAAATGTCATAATGTTTTAAACATTAAAATGATAAAAAAATATTGTATGTTAATCTTGAAAGGTATTCTGGTTAGTGCCTTTAAAATGCTGTCTTTTCACTAACAGATTTTAGTTATCTGTACAAATGTTATATTGAATTTTACAAGAGAACCAAATTTACTTTCTGGTAAATTTTGGTGGGGAAAATTGTCTTTAGCGTTGTATTTTCTGTCATCTATTTGTTCTTCATACTTTGTCAGTATTTCATTAATATATAGGCTGGGCGCTGTGGCTTACACCTGTAATCCCAGCACTTTGGGAGGCCAAGGCAGGTGGATCACCTGTGGTCAGGAGTTCGAGACCAACCTGACCACTGTGGTGAGACCCTGTCTCTACTAAATACAAAAAACTAGTCGGGCATGGTGGCAGACGCCTGTAGTCTCAGCTACTTGGGAGGCTGAGGCAGGGGACTCACTTGAACCCA